AGATGTGTAGCTCGCCCTTGTCATTCTCGGAACCACTGTGTATACCAAAACTGGGTTACATACCCTAATAGTGCTGTTTGTCCTTATTTCCTCCTTGATTGTAAGCTTCCAAAGGACAGGAACAGTGTCTTGAGGTACCACTAGCATATAGTAATTAAATTAATTAGGTAATATTATTTTCACTATACAGATGAGTAAGCTCTGGCTCAGAGAGGTGAAACAACTTGCACAAGGTCACATAACTAATAAGAGCCTGATCTAGGAGTCTCTTTAACTCTAAAACCCATTCCTCTCCACCTCACTACTCTGCTAGATCTGTCTAATATAGGTCACAGTTTGCCAGGTGAATCATGCCCTGTGTCTTCAAGAAAAAGGACTATTGCAAATAACCACTTGGGTTTCTCCTTTTCCAACAATAATAGATCTGCAAAGAGGCATTTATAGTTATTGTTTGGGTTACAAGCAGGTCTCAGTTCTGCTTTAGCCTCTGGAAAAAATGAAAGGGAGGCACAAAAAAATTCAAATCAGTGATGGAGTAGTAACTCACCTAATATGCTTAACATGATACTAAAAAAATTTGGTAATCGTCATTCATCAGCATTTTTAGTTTCAGGCCAACTATAATATGGGGAAGAGAAAGGTGAATGAGAAAAGAGATTATGTTTTCTGTCTTTTTAATTCCCCAGCCACCATCATCCCCCCACCACCATGCTCTTACATACAGACACCAAGCGCAGGACTTACAAAAAGCTGCTCTTAATAATAATTCTCAAGTCATTCATTCAGTAAGTGTCAACTGTGCACATACTAGGTACTTGACTGTCCTAAAGGGAAGAAGACAGACGGATAAGGCCCCTGCTTATGTGAAGCTTAGATTCTGGAGGGAGAAGATAATAAATAAATGAACACCACACACAAGAAAAAGTCATGACAAGTGCTAAACAAAGATCTAAAATGGGATAATGACGGGAGAATGATTAAATGTGGCTTCTCTAGAAGAAGTGATCAGGGAAGGCCTCTGTAGTTTAGTTGGGGCAGGGATGGGGGTGCGTTCCAAGAAGAAGCAAAGGATGGCACAAAAGGCAAAAACCAGGAATGGTGAAGGCAAAGAAAAGTTGAACCAACTGGAAACCACCAGATGTCTCCTCATCAAGTCTACTACTAATAAAATGTTCATTATTAATAGAGTATGTTGCTATTTTGAACACATTCTTGAATTGGAGGAAGTGGTGTGAATGTAACATGGGAGCAAAACATTCAGGAAACATTTAGAAACTTAGAGACCTTGTACATTAGTTTCTCCCACCAAAAACATGCTAGAGATAGAAAGCTATGAATTAGCAAACTAAGTGATGGGCTTGGTGTTTCAGGGATTGAAACAGGAAAACACGTGGAAAGTGAAAAGGGGGACAGTACTGTGTGTTGGGCACTTTGGTAGCCTTTACACACTTCGCCTTACTGATTTCTCCCAAGGCCTTGCGAAGTAGGTGGTATTAAGCATATTCTACAGAGGTGCAAATTGAAGCTCCATAAAGTCAAAACATCTAGAAAATATAGATTCAAAACGAGGCCCACCTGTTTCCAAAACTACTGCACCACCCATACAGGCCTTTTGTTTCTGAAATTGCCTTTCACACCATATTTTTCCAAGACCTCCATCCTCTCTTCTGCCATGGTGAGAAATCCTGGGCCGAAGCCAGATTTTAGCTCAGCCCCATTATCATTCTCCTGACTCAGTTAAGCAACTCTTTCCTATACAGTTAACTTTTCAGAACAGCTTTCCGTGATGGGTCTTTGTGAACAGGAGGGCTATTAATGATGCATGTGCTTCCTGTGGAGACTGGTTGCAGGAGAAAAGGAGCATTTGGTTGTTTTTAGTGCCAAACAACAAGTTGCTGGAGAGGACGAAGTGCCTATTAGGCTTAAAAATTGTATCTACAATAGTCTAAATCACAGACGAATCCTTCTTAAAAGATTCTGAATACCGAGAACCGGGACAAAATATAAAAATTCATGACTTCTGCTCATCCTCATATGTCAGGAGAGTTTCATTATTTGAATCTCAAACAATAGCTTGAGCTGCAGATAAAGAAAACCAATAATAATACACAGTCCTCAGCACTATTCATTCTGTTTTTGATCAAATGGCCCTTGATCCTTATGATTCCACACCTTTCAATCTACCCTAAACTAACATTTATCCATTTCAAAGTCCCCAACCATAAATCAGCCGTAATGGAAGCTCTTCTTCTTGCTTTTATTGCAAGGATATATGCTCCAACCTTCATGTCTAAAGTGTTTACCTGGCTTTTTCATAGCTGACTCAGTAGAATGGAACCTTTTAATGCAACCTGCATGGCATGTGGTCACCAAATCTATGTGAAGTCTTCATAATTTTTGTGTGATTGATAGCATATTGCTCTTCACTGGTGAGGGAAACGGTATCTATTTCCTGCTTGCTTCCTTTTGTAGATATTAAGTTACTTAATCCATTTACTTTCGTGATTGGGACTTCAGAGGTAGAAATGTGAAGGAAAAGAGAAAAGCAACAAAGCTCAACAAATCTGTGCCTGACACTTAGGCCTAGATGTTTTCCACTGCATGATATTACCTCCTGGAATTATAAAACCAAAGCTCCCTTTTCTGCAAAGTAACACAGTTGGGGGGAGGGGAGATAAAAAAATCAATCAATCAATCAAACACCATAGTTTTAGGAGAAAAAGAGCCCCTTTCTTCAAAGGAAAATATAGCAGTACAGTTGACTTGCATGTGGAGCTTCCATAGCTCCGCAGTTTCCCAAACTATTGTCCGTGGCCATCTTTTAGACCTTCAGACAACCCCTCCTGATCCTGCATCAGCTACCATCATCCTCAAGTTTAAATGCATTCATCTATCTATATTTCAAAACTTTCTCCCGACCTACTTCTTTCTATTTATTATGCTATTTCTCTCCAAAACGATGTATTTGAAAGAGTTTTTAAACCATGGTGTTATATCAGTTCTAGGTATTATTATTAAACACAACTCAAGACCTGTAAAAACCTTTCTCAGATTAGCTTTGTCTGCCCATTCTTTAATTCAGCTAAGAGGGCACCTCTGATCTAGGAAGGCACACATGTCTCAGAAGCTCAGAGATTAATGAGAATAAGAGATGAATGACTGCCTTAGGGAGTGTATAATCTGCTGGTTCCCAGCCCTACTCTCCCAGTCCACTTTCCTCATCTGCATCTACCATTTTCACCACTTCTTGAATGTTTTTAATTGTTTCTTTTGTCATTTCTGTTACTAATCGTAAACTCCTCGGGACTGTGTCCATCTGTTACCTTTAGCCAGAAAATCCGGGTAGTGTCATGCTATGAATCAAAACCATGAACATTGGGGGCACCTGGGTGGCTCAGTCATTAAGCGTCTGCCTTCGGCTCGGGTCATGATCCCAGGGTGCTGGGATCGAGCCCCGCATCGGGCTCCCTGCTCGGTGGGAAGCCTTGTGTTCCCTCTCTTGCTGTCTCTCTCTCTGTGCTAAATAAATTAAAAAAAAAAAAACCATGAACTTTGGATAAGCTCTTTATCTCTCAGCTTCGTTTTTCTCACTTGAAAAATGCAAATAACACCTACTATATACAAAGTGGTTGTTAGAAGTAATTTTAATGTACAAAGTAGATAATTAATAAATGGTTGCTGTATCATGTCACTCACTTGCTTTAAAAGAAGCCTTTAATAACACCTCTGTTGTCTTTCAAATAAAAGTAATGTCTCAGCCCACTATTGGATGCCCTCGAGGAAGACCCCCACCGACTTTGTCAGCCTTCTCTCTTTTGACTCCCTATACATTCTTTCACTCAAACCAAAAGTCCTACTCCCAAATACACCCTCGTCTTTCCATCATGAGGGCACACCGGTAGTACATCATCTTTTGAGCCCCTTGTATTTTAAGAAGGTGTTTGATGCTTGCATATATTTTTGCTTACTACCTAATTTTGTGTAATATCTACTTGATTTTAGCGGTTAAGAACATAGCTCTAGAATCCAGCTCCTTGTTTATTTTCATACAGTGGCTCCACAGTCATCTAGCCATGTGGCAGTGGACACATCATTTAATCCCTCACTGTTCTTGCCTGTGAATGGAAATAATAATAATAGTAACTATTACAGTGAGGATAATAATATAACTATTATTGTGAGGATGCAAAATAATAATTCATGTAACTAACACAGTAAGCTCTCCTTAAATATCAGCTGTTTTTATTATGAGAATTTCTAGTTGTTTTCTTCTCATTCAAGTCTGCAAGATATTTTACAAATGATGAGAAAGGTTAAGTGGTTCTTTCAAAGTAACAGCAGAGCAAGTAATTGGAAAAGATGAGATTTGAAACCAGAGCTCTCTGACCCCAGAATTCCTACCTTCCCACCGCTTTATGTATATTGTGCTAATCTCTCTACCTGAAAAATGTCCTTCCTTATATCTAACTAAAATAACTTTCCCAGGCCCATCTCAGGTTCTGTCTCCTTCAAAAAGTCTCTTTGATTCCCATCCAAATGTGATGTCTTCCTCAAATCCTCACAGCGGTGTGTCACTCGTTTGTACCCAGCATTGTGCTCCAGTGACTTATGTACTCCATCATGAGATCTTGGACACCAGGGTAGGGGTTGCCCCTGAAACAGAGCACTTTGCCCCAATCTACACCCTGTTTCGTGTGAAGTGGAGCACTTTGCACCAAAGAGATATTTAATAAAGTCACTTGAGTTGAACAGAGGGTTGTTAAGGTCACAAATGGAAAATTCTGCCCAATCCAATCCAGGAATCATTTACTTACAAACACATCTTTATACACTGGGTTTAAAGAGATTAGCAAGGCAAAAACCCTGCCCTTAAGGAATTTACAGTTTGATAAAAGTGCTTTGAAACCAGAAAGTGATTTTTTTAATTGGAGGCATTATAATTAATCAGATGAAAAAACACTTCAGTAATGCGAAGGAATTCTCATTTATTGTTCGTACAGATACAGTTGTCTCCTCCAGCTGCTGTACCAGTTTAGACTACGTCGTCACCTACCTCTTCAAGCACATAGCAAAAGAGGGCAAGAAGCCACTTCGATGCAGAGAGGCTACCCAGGCCGGTCAGAGACTATTACATTTTATGCAGCAAAATCCAGATGTCCTACAGCAGGTAACTGGTGGTCGGTCACCTGGCTTAAGAAACAGAGTTTCCCAAAAGCCAGCCTAGACCCTGAATATCTCTTAGAGCAAATGGTCCGGTCAAGACTCTTTATCAGTTATTCTCTAGGAGTATTTTCCCGGAAGATAGGATAGCACACTCGCCCCAGGACTACTCACCCTCAAGAGATTTCTTAAGTCATTCATCTTACTCCAGTGAAGCCAGAATTCAAAGAAAGGATAGCTCTTCCAGAGGCCTGAAAGAAAGAACTAGAAACAGTCACACTCTGGTTTCTTTCTTGGAGCCTCTAATAACATCTTCTGAAGTTTGCCTTGTGAGTACTCTGGTCCATCAGGAAACTGCCATTTGCTGAGCTCCTAGGCGGTGCCAGCTTGCTGGGAGCTTTCCGTTCATCATACCACAATTGGCATTCTTCCCATTTAAGATAAGAAATCAAGGTTCAGATAGATCATATTCCCCAGAGCATTTAAGTAATAAATAATAAAGCCACAACTTCTTCATTTTCAAATGTGTTTTCTGACTGGCTAATATGAGTTAGGTCCAAGTTTAATATTGTTTTTTTAAAAACTCACTTCTGCAAATCACAGTAACAGCATGCATAAAAATAAATAACACGTGTCGGAAATATTTCCAAGAGAATAATACCATTGTTCTGTGGAGATACCATCACTATGATATTTTCCAGTTCCACTAACTTTGGAAACTTTATACTGCTTCCAGTTGTTTTATTTTGCCAAATTACCTTCATAATAGTTTGTGGTTTGCAAATGTAAACACTTCAACAAGGTTATTAGCCAACAAACAAGGTGCCTGCCACCAGCAGAAAGTATTACTCTGAGCAAAGAAATGATGAACGTAGAATGAGCCAGCCATAGGTGAGGTTTTCTTCCTGGTTGTCATTTTTTACAATTATTCAAATTAAATTATGTAAACTTATTTTGGGTGATGTCTTAGCCTGTTGTCTTCCTGGCAAGGAGGTGTGTGGTTAAGATTTTGTGTAGCTAGACAAGGTGCCGCCGGCCTCTAAGTATTTGATGTGACCCTGGAAGTGTTAAGCACGCGTTGGTGATACGGTAAAGAGAAGAGAAAGGTAGCACATGTATTGAGGACCTTCTGTGCACAAGGTGCAAGAGCCACTGAGACTCGTAAGACATAATTTCTCTCCTAAAGGTGCTATCAGGTGGGACGGAGATAATTGGTTAGTTACTAGGTAACTAACCACTTACATGATAATTTGATTAATATAGTGGTGACAGAGATTGACACACGAGGAGAGGACTTTCAGAGAACTCTTCTCATTTACACCCCCACAATAACCCTGAAATGTGGATATCATCACCCCCATTTTATAGGTGAATAAACTGAGACACACAGCAATTGGGAAGTGGAATGTGAACCAAGGTTTGTTTGACTCAAAAGCCCAAGTCCTTACCACTTACACTGTTGACTCTCAAGGGCCTAGTTGGTAGGGATAAGATCTCAGATTCACCAGGAATGCCATTTCAAACTATACATTCTATTGAGATTTGGGTGTACCCCGCTTCCCGCCCCCCCCCCCCCCGCCCCGCCACCTACCCAGCTGCAGTAGCCTCTGGTACTGTTGGGAGTGTGTCATAGCCCTCCGGTGTTCTGCAAGGAGAAGGTTGAAAACCACAGATTTAGAGCAGGTAGCCAGTGGAGAAAAGAAATACCCATGGATTGGCCAGGAATCAGACCCAGCCCCCACCCCACCATGGCAAATGACAAGTCCCCCACCAAATCCTTCCTGCCAGCACTCAGCCTGATCACATTATTATCCCATAAAGTTTGGCAGAAACTTTTAAGTTGGTAGATTTTACCAAAATCAATAGGCTGTGATCCTAGACAGATACCATCAGACGGTGCAGAGCAAGTGATGTTGTTGTACAGGAGACGATCAAGTTTGTCTTTACTCAGAATTACCATGCATTTGTTGATTTAAGTAATTTCTGTGTGTTAATAATACTTGGTAATCCTTTGCTTTATAGCATATGACTAAGTAGTGATATATCTTTATTAACAGTGGAATACATTCTATTTATTTGGAATGTAGGCTTTCAGATAGCATTTTAAATATTAATGACTGGTCTCTGGTAGTCAGCATAAATATGATTTGCATTAGCACTAGGTTATATCATCTTGAGTGCCTCTGATGTCAACTATTGGGTATAGTAATATCTGACATCATCTCCTTAGGTCACTGACAACTTTGACCTCTATTCTTATGCACAGTTTCTGTCGTCTCAAAAGCTCTTTTGAATTGATTTGAAATTTTGACTCTTCCCTTTATGAGGCAGTAAAATTGATAATTATTCAGATGGGAACTGAGCGCTGAGTGAAAAATCAATTCTACCCGCTCTCTGCTGCGTATAAAATTACTTCTGAGTCGGCTGGACTGAACGGATGGCCAGAGTAAAAGCAGCAGGCCGGAGTAGTGGGAAGAATTAGCCGGACAGAGCTAATAGCCTGAAGGGATGGACTTGGAAAAGAGGGAGTGGGCCAGTTGGGGGTTATTATGAGCAAGGATGGGTCCCATTGATCATCTGTTTACATCAGCTTTCCAAGACCTTATAAATCAGCCCTGAAGAGCAGCAGAACTCAAGATTAGGCATCTTACCAGAGGGACTTTGTATTAGATTATTCTCATTTTCACACTCAGATGAAAAGTGAGCCATTGATTATTCATTGGTTGCCCATTAAATGCTGTTTTTATAGATGATTTGCCTATCACTGAAGGTAATGAACAAGGTGGCTGCTTTATAACTCGAGGTTTCAGTTTTCAAGGCATCTGTGTCGGTTAAGTAATGCCTAACCCTATTAAAAGGAATGGGTTACAAATTGCTTAACAGTGCTGAAAAACTAGACCCTAATGACTAATTGTGCTTGGAGTTTAGAGAGGGTTTGTCAGCTCTTTAAACTAAACTGATGCAATGATACTGCAATTATTTACTAGTTTGAGCTGTTTTTCCCCCCAACCTGGATATATATTGCTGGAAGCGTAATTGCATGAAGAGTGTCAGTTCCAAATTGCAAAAGTTTATGTCCTCAAGCTTCCGTAGCAAGCGAAGCGTGAACCCACATAAAAGGTTTTCCAGCATCCTTGTAGGCCTTGTGATTGGTGTGCAACAGCCTGGGAAGCACATTTTAAGCGCCTCTCACCTGGAAATGTGCTTATTATGATCTGTTATGTGGTTTGAGATCCTCAGTGTTTTTACAAATATTCTCCAAATAAGCCATCTTCCATAATCTGTAAACAAATCTAACTTTGCTAGCATTAAATTTAGTCTATTTGAAGATCCACTGTAATTAAGTGAAACCATTGCAAATAAGAATTATTGTCTCACCAGCATTCCTTGGACTTAGCACTTGAGGAGAACCCAGTTTACGTATATTAAGAATAAATATTCCCCATGTGTTCTTATGCCATTAGAAAGATAAACTAAAATCTTAAGAACAAGCCAATAGTAACAGTGATTAGGCACAGATGGGCTACAGCAATTTGGAAAATTAAATTTCTGTATGAATTTTTTTCAGTTTTACCTCTGGTCATGTTAAGTGTTTGCCTCTTATGTAAGCCATAGATCAGCTTTCATTTAGTTATATCACAGAGTGAAAGATTTGCCCAAATTAGGTAAATGGAGGAGTGTGTTTTATAGAATTAGAGGGGCAGTTCAGAGAGGTGACGGATTCTTTTTCAGATTATAAGAATAGGGCACTGATGCCGAATGCTTCTCTAAGTCCGAATTGCAGCTATAAGTAATTGCTCTGGAGAGAGGGGCACCTTCTGCAGAAGTAGAACAAGAACTCAGTGGTTGTCAGTATTACTGATTAGGTTATGCTGTTAACTTATTAACAAGGTATTTTTAGCAATTATATTCTCTAAAATCTAAATACATTGAAGGGACAAATAGAACATTTAGGTTTGAATTTATCTCACCCTCATCTATTTAACTATTTTGTATAAGTCAGCTATCATAAAACCCCCCAAAAAGTTCTTATTATGATTATCTCTCTCTTTCACTCCCTCCCTCCCTTCCTTCCTCCCTCCATCCCCCCACCCCCACCCCCAACCTGGCATTTAACTACAAATTGTGAAGAGCTGTCAGGAGCTGTAAGAATCATACTTCAGTAGGGATGTGTGCTGAAAGAACATTCACCCTTTTCCTCAATCAGTCAATCAATGAAAATTGCTTTTGTATAGTGTTCTCCATGACATGCATCCCAAAGTGAATTACAGCAAGAGGGAAATCATCTGCTCTTTTTTCATTTTTGTGTTTAGATTGAAATGATACTGCTCAACATTTTGACATCCTATACAAGACATCTTTCATACTTAAGATTCCATTCCCTAATACTAAGTAGGAGAAAGTGTAGTCGCATATTTAACTGATGTTGAGATTTTGGCCTATAGAACCTTAGCAACACTCTTAGCGGTTTCCCACTTAGCGGTGGGAAACACTTAAGCAGATGAAGTATATTCATGTTCTCTTATCCTCTTAAAAAATAATTAGCCAGATCGTCTAATGTTATTAAAGGCATTTCTGGTGGACCCTAAATAGAAGGTGTGCCCTCCACATGACCCATTAGCTCAGTCTGGTTGATTTGCCACTTTATTATCAAAAATATGGCAGTAGATTGGTACCCAAAACACATGCTGAAGGAACATTCACAACTAGATCAGAGGACAACATGGGTATAGAGGGTTTAAAGGAAGCCAGGGATAGGTCATTAGACACCAAAGTAGAGAGCAGGAACTCACGTTTCAGGACAGAACTGGTTTTTGCACGTGCTGCCACAATCTCCGTTTTCTTCATGGCACTCTGTGCGTGGACTATGTATTTATTTCTAGAAAAAAATGATATTGGCAAAATATAAGTGCTTACTGTGTGCAGCTTAAGCTTTTTACGTATGTGTGTAATCTGATTTCATCATCACAGTATGTCTGTGAAGTGGTGGTATTATGATAGCCATTT